ACAAAATGGGATCTGAGTGGTGGTTGAGAGCAAAATAGTCAGCAGGTGACTTACAGATTGTATCTTTCTCTGGTTAAGGATTTTTTTTTTTTTTTTTGTAGTTGTTAGGTGAGTTAAGTTGGCCATGTCAGTGAGAGTCCAAAACAACCAGTTGGGGTGACTGTGGCCAGTTAGGGAGTCTTCATTCAGTGGTGCAGGGTATCTTAGCTGAGACTATCTCATTTCAGCTCTGTCAAAGTGGGATTAAGAGGATTCAGGTGCATCTTGTTTGGTTTTGGGGACAGTTTTTTTCCCAGTGCTAGAGCTGAAACGCTTGCAGCTGCTGGGCCAGTACTCAAATATGGAACTAGGGTGCTCAATCTACCTGAGGGGAGGCCAGGGGAGTCAGTACCTAAGAAGGGCACAAGTCACTGAAGAAAATGAGTAGATGGGGGGCCAGAGAGTCCCTAGATGCTGTGAGATGGTTTCTTAGAGTTTAATTCCTTTGTGAAGTTTCTTGCCCTAGTTGTGTAAATGAGTGTTTCTTGCTCCACTTTGTTCCAGTATAGCAAAATACCCAAAATTGATATTTTACAAAGAACAGATTTCTTAGTTCACAGTTCTGGAGGAGGGGCAATCCAAGATTAGGGAGCCATGGCTGGTGAGGACCATCTCTTATGTCATCACCGGGATGGAAAGTAGAAAGGAAAGAGATTGCATACATGGAGAGAGAAAAGGGGGAAACTTGTCCTCCATTCATGAGGGAAGGGCCCTTGTGACTTAACCACACCCCCAAAGGCCCACCTCAGTGCTCTGCATTGGAGAATAAGTTCCCAACCCATGACTTTGGAGGACACCTTCAGACCTTAGCAGACAGTGGTGATGTTAATGCACTGAGCACTGTTCTCTGAATGGATGAATAGGGCAAAGTCAGGAAGGTCTTGGGGGTTCCGCCACAGCTAACCACCCTGGGGGCCTGCTTGCATGCACCTCTCAGGCACCCCAATGTGGGTGTGTGAGGCTGGCTCATGATTCTAACCCTGTTACTGCCCTGTTTCTATATGCATCCGATTCTGATCTTTAAACACACTGGGTTTTGATTCCCTACTTTATTTGAGCCCCTGCTCGGTATTTTCAGCCTGTACTGTGGACATTTCTAGACTCTGCTTTTTATAGATGGGAATGAGGGCCATAAAGAATGGGCCTTTCATGCTCGAGCCAAGAACTACTGCAAGGAATTCCTCCTAATGGAATATACCAGATGAGCTTCGTAACAAGGACACTTGCATATGTGGCCATCTCTATCATCGAGCCGTGGCCAAATCCTGCAGACCAACCCTCCAAATCAATGGTTTTCATTTCGAGTTTACTTGAACTTTACATGAAAGCGTCCATTTGTCTCTACCTCTTCTGTGGGGAGGTAGGAGGTGTGGTGTGGGCATCTGTATGGTGGTCAGAGGGCAACCTAGTACTTTGGTGTGGGGTATGGGCACCTGTGTGGAGGTCAGAGGGCAACCTTGGGCATTGTTTCTTGCAGTCTATGAGACAGTGTGTCTTGTTCGCTGCTTCTTACACTAAGGTGGCCGATAGCTGTGTATTGAAGGCCAGCCTGGTCTACATAGTACAGTGAGTGTCCTGTAAAAACACAGCATCCTGTATGTATGTGTATTTCTTTATCCCAGTTAGTCCTGTTCTTTAAATCTGCGTGTTAAGTTATTTCTTATTACGGTTTGAAATATGAAATGTTCAGCATAGGCTGGTGTGTTACACATTTGGTCTCTAACTGGCGGTGGCATTTGGGAGGTGGCAGGCCTAGCTAGAGGCTAGCTTGGGGTGTATTCCAGAGGGTATGTTGTCCTTGTTTCTACTTTCCCACCCTTCCTATCCCCCTTCCTTCCTCTCTATTTCCCTCCCTTTAGACCTTCATACTTCCCTCCTTCACCCCAAAGGGCTCTCCTCTATAGCATATTCCCATAGGCAGGGTGTTCTGCCTATACCCATGGGTCCAAACAATTATCTATTAAACCCTCTGAACCCATGAGCCAAAAGCAATTCTTCCTTCTTTAAGTTATACTGTAAAGCATTTTTGTCATAGTCATGAAAAAGGGAATTAGCATACTGCTATCCCTTGCAGAGGACCTGGGCATCCTAAAGTCAAGCCCCTCCCCCACCTTGAACCAGTAGCTGTGGGACTGTACTTGTTTAGTCAGTCTCATAAGCATTGAGAACTGCCACGATCTTCATTGTTTACCAGAGAAACAACCTAAGATACCTGCAGTACTTACAATGGAAACTCAGCCCACAATGTCCACCGATGGCCATAAACCATTGTCTTGGAGTTTCTTTTGCTGTGATAAAACACCATGCCAAAGCAACTTGGGGAGAAAAGGGTTTATTCGACTTACACTTCCACATCACTGTCCTTCATGGAAGGAAATCAGGACAGGAACTCAGGACAGGAACTCAGGACAGGAACTCAAACAGGGCAGGAACTTGGGAGGCAGGAGCTGATGCAGTGGCCATGGAGGGGTGCTGCTTACTGGCTTGCTCCTCATGGCTGGCTCAGTCTCCTTTCTTACAGAACCCAGGACTGTTCGCCCACGGTTGGCCCCACCCACAGTGGGCTGGGCTCTTACTGATGAATCACTAATTAAGAAAATGTCCTACAGCCCAGTCTTATGGAGACATTTTTTTCAGGTGAGGTTTCCTTCCTTCCTCTGATGACTCTAGTTTGTGTCAAGCTGACATAAAACTAGCCAGTACAACCACATAAACTTAATTTCTTCCACACTGTAATAATTCATCGTTCTCGCCAGCTTTTTTCCATTGTTGTCTCAAATTTCACTTGCTCTCAGATCCATGTTTTGGCTTTCCTCTTTCCTTCATTCCCCGCCCCCTTTTTTTTTTCTCTCCTCGGTTTTCCATCTCCATTTTAGACGGTGATTTTCAGAGCTAGGTTTACAGGCACCCACCACCATGTTCAGCTCTTCATCTTTTCTTATGAACTCTACTCTTTTGAAACAAAACCATAATCCCATCCCAGCTCTGTGTGCCAGCCTTGTCTGTCAGCCTTGCCACTTACAAATTGCCCATTGCCTATGGGAATATGCTATAGAGGAGAGCCCTTTACATTGAGGCTGTCTCTCCAGGACAGAGGGTGAAGGAGGGAAGTATGAAGGTCTAAAGGGAGGGAAATAGAGAGGAAGGAAGGGGGATAGGAAGGGTGGGAAAGACAACATCCCCTCTGCTTTTCCCCCCAAGCTAGCCTCTAGCTAGGCCTGCCACCTCCCAAATGCCACCGCCAGCTAGAGACCAAATGTGTAACACACCAGCCTATGCTGAACATTTCATCCCTATTCAGCGTCCTTGGATATTAGGTGCCTGTTGCATAGCCGAAGCTCTGTACCTAAAACTAACCCTTGTCAGGGGCTCTGTATGTAGGCACACACTCCACCTCATATCTTGAACTTTTCTCTCTGGATCTTGGTTCCGGAGAGTGCCAGCCAGAGTCTGCCCCTAACATGACTACATCATCAGCTTTCTTTGGGAACGGGGCAGGGGCTGTTTTTCCCACAGAGCTGTTTGTACCGTCTGTGTTATTTCTGGACGAGGGTCTTCTATGACATTACAGAGTGGACCTTATGTCTTCCTGCATCTCCACTTCAAAGCATTGACTCCCAGCCCCCTCTTGCTGTTTTCCCTGAACACCCCTCATCTCCCTGCTCACAGGGGGGTAGTCTGTCCACAGGGAATGTGACACATCCATGTGGGGGAGAGCTTTAAAGAGGGCAAGCTTGAGTATACCCCCACAGACTGCTAAGCAGCTGAGTAAACTCCCTGTCACTCTACCTACTGTTTACATGTGGGAATGATGACAATAGAGTTCGCTTCTAACCCCACACTGCCTTGGAAGGGAGATGCATATTTCCCATCTAAGAAACCTAAGATTCTAACCTCAGATGTTGCACTAGCCTCAAAAAAAAAAAAAAAAAAAAAAAAAAAAAAAAAAAAAAAAAGCCGATGAATGAGAAATGAACTTTATTCATTTACTACAGAATGTCTTAGGAAATAATCTCAAAAGATGGTCTGTCATTATGAAAAACTTTTTTGCTTCAGCACTGAGTTCCTTGCTTTGTTCATTTACTAAATTCTCACACTTATTTGCTTTCATCTTGGCTACATGATCCTGACCCATAACCTCATGTCTGAGACTCAGTTTCCCAGCTGGGAATGGAGATAACTATTCTTCAGCAGTGATGATTACTGTAGCAACTAAGTAAAGCAAGGTAAAAGGGAATACCCTATAAATGTATACTATGAGAATTTGATGCTTATTTTAAACTAATGAAAGCTTGGGTATCCTTTGTGTAAATTGCATGGGATTAGAAGTGTTTCCTGTGTGTGTGTGTGTGTGTGTGTGTATGAACATGAACATTATTATATTATATATATATATTAAAATGAAATAGTTTGGGAATGGTTGCTAAGTCTAAATGCAAAATTCATTTTTGACTCGCATATATCTCATATATCTTATATGCATAGCCTGATGGTGTTTATAGAGATTTGATTGGAGACACCAAATTTTTATATATTATTTGGATCCTGATTTAATCTTGTTTTATACCTATTGCTCCCTGCCTCCTACTTTTTAGGGTTCACTAGCCATAATTATGCTATTATCCAATAAATAGCATCATAAATAAAACAATGCCATAATAAAAATGAACTGAATATTGAGACAAATGAAATAATATTTGCAATTTACCCAAATTCCAAGAAAGACTTGGTGTGGGAAGCAGTAGGTCTTGGCGAATTTAAGGAGTCCCCCGATAGCTCATATCCTGCATCTTTCCTTATTATTCTGTGTCTGTATTCCATATTGTGGCGCCTTTAGGCAGAGCTGTGGCTGGTCACACAAATGGGCATGATCTGACTCCAGCCTTCTTTAATGACAAGCCCCAGTAGGAATGTGCCACAGGACAGCAGGTGATTCGCTGTGCTGTTTTGCTTTCTTTCAGGGACTCTGACCTATTTTTGTTGGACACCCGTGTAGTGTGGGCCTCAGAAGAAGGCTGGCTGGAATTTGACATCACAGCAACCAGCAATCTGTGGGTGGTGACACCACAGCACAACATGGGGCTCCAGCTGAGTGTGGTGACTCAGGATGGTGAGTTGTGATTCGCACACTGCCAGCACCTACCCGCAGTCATTTCCATTCATTTCCTCTGTAGCGGCGGTGGTGGGACCGTTGCTTGTAGCCCAGGCCTCGGCGCCAGGATGACCTTGTTTTCTGTTTCCTCATGACCACATTGAAAAAGCAAAACTTTCTACTAGCAAGGACTTGGAAGCAAGCTCAGGCCATGTCCCCCACTGCCCCCAATGGGAGGCTAGCTTCCCCAGGCTGAACCAGGTGGAAGAATCCCCAGAGAAAGGCAGGAAGCTTGGGGCATACAGTTCAGCTATAGAGCACTTGTCTAGCACGTGTGAGTCTCTGGGTTCTACCCCGTACCAAAAGATGGAAGAGCTGGAAGGGACGAGGAAGGAAAGGGAGGGAGAGAAAGGTCGTTAGAATCTGACTGTCCAGTGAGTTTGCCAAGGGACCCTCGAGGAAGCTTCCCCTCCTGCCTGGCTCTCTGCTTCAGTTGTTCAACTCCTGCACAGTCGTTCCACTGCTGGGGAGAAATATAGCCAGGAAGGAAGTGTGAATAGCAATGGATAAGAGGACCAGAAAGAAGAACACTCCCTGGGTTGATCCTGTGCTTTGGGAGGCACACTTCGAGTCTGGCCGTCTAACGGGAGCCAGCCAGGGCGGGAGGATGTGTAGGGCCTTGCCCACATTCCCACTCTTTTTCATTTAGTCGTACATGGAAGAATAGAAAGAGTCCCCTCATCATGTAGCTTTGAGACTAAGGTTCTGTGGAGTAAAGAGGGGTGGGCTTTGGTTTGCATTAAAGGACTCCACGTCAACCCCCGTGCCGCGGGCCTGGTGGGCAGAGACGGCCCTTACGACAAGCAGCCCTTCATGGTGGCCTTCTTCAAGGTGAGCGAGGTCCATGTGCGCACCACCCGGTCAGCCTCCAGTCGGCGTCGGCAGCAGAGTCGCAACCGTTCCACCCAGTCACAGGACGTGTCCCGGGGATCCAGTGCTTCAGGTGAGTGTGGGTGGAGCCTTGGTGTACCCATCGGGACGAAGGTACCTATGGCCTCGGATGTTGGACAGCTTTTGCTCAGCAAACACAGCGACTAGTGGCAGGGGCGGGGGAGGGGGGGAATCCTAGGAACGGTCATAATGCCCTGGCCACAGATACCTGTATGGGACCCTAGGACCCTCAGAGCACTATTACCCAAAGGCTGGAGCTGCAGGCATCCCCACTGCCACTTGATTCAGACAAGCATTCTTTTGCTGGATGAGATTTCTACAGCTCTTGTTTTTTCCTTCCTACAAAAATCATAGAGACACTCCAACGATTTTAATTTTTAGAATTGTTTTATTTAATTCATAAATGTGTTACCTGACTGTATATGTGTATACCATGTGTGTGCCTGGTGTCCCTAGAGGTCAGGTGTGCCACATTCTCTGGAACTACTTACAGATGGTTGTGAGCCAGCGTGTGGATGCTGGGACCTGAAGATGTGGTCTTCTGCTTGAGGCCAGAAAGTTTTCAAATATTTCTTTTCTTCAGATTTGGGGATACTTGCATATATACATAATGAGATTTCTTGGGGATAAGAACTATGGCTGATGCTAAAATTAATTTATATTCCCCATTCACGTTACAGACATAAGCTGTATGTTAATTTTATACAGCATTTTTAGTGCACTTTGGTTTGACCACCACCCATCAAATGGTGCTTTTCAGACTTTGGGTGCTCAACTTGCATGAGGAAGTATTATACATTCATGCTACATGGAGCTGGAAAAATGACTCAGTGGTTAAGAACACTGACTTCTCTTCCAGAGCACCTGGGTTCAATTCCCAGCATCCACATGGCAGCTCACAACTGTCTGGAACTTCAGTTCCAGGGGACTTGACACCCATGGCAAAACACCAATGCATATAAAAACCAAAACAAAACAATGACAAAAGCAATACTCCACACCATTCATGCTCTATGGACTTTACCAGAACTCTTGGCTGAGACTAATAATCTACTCAGAGCCTCTAAAGTGGATTTTATTGGTTCATTTAACTGGGAAGTTCAGGGTTTCTTGCTTCAGTTTCATTGGATTGTTGGAAAGTGATGATACTAGAAAGTTCTGTTTTTTGTGTTTCTTGTTGGTGGACTCCTCAGAAAGACGGTCAGTGTAGGGGAAGGTTTCCGGGAGTCTGAGTGTGATCTTGGCAACCTCATCTTCAAATACAAGAGTTTTCTGCCTTGCTGGGTCAGCAGGAAGTCAGCCTTGATGCTCATTGGGCTAGCTTGTACCACCTGCCCAACCCTGATCATCTTGCTGCCTAGGAAATGCTCTGATTGGCCAAGCCTACATTGGCACTCAGTCCTGTTCTAGACAAGCAAATTCAAAGGACATGAGAGAGGAAGCAGCCCCCAGTCAGTGTCTGAGGGTTAATTCCCACTTTCAGAAGTCTTCTCTAGAACTGGGAGGAGTGGGAAGTGGAAACTCCTAGAAGCACGTGCGTAGCAGCTGTGGGGCGGTGCTGGATTCAGACTGCAACATGGCTCAAGCAAGTGCTTCTTAGTTCTGGATCCCTTGGGGCATTGAACAGCTCAGAAAGCAAGTGTGACATTGAGTATCTGCAGTGTGCTTTTCTGTCAGAATTTTTCTTGCAACCTTGTGGCTCTGGAGAACCTGCTCAGTGGGCGTGAGCTTCAGTTCACCTCTCTGCAGACTGAACAGAGTCGGAGGGTTTGGTGAAATGCAGTCACACGACACACAGTCACCTTCAAAGATTCCTGACACCCACTTATAAAAAGTAGGTGCTCAGAGCACGTGCTGGGATCCCAAGGAAGTAAAACACTTCCAGAGGCTGTTTATTTTCAAGGCAGCTCACGACAACCGCCATCTTTGGTGCCCAGGAAGAATGAATGCAGCCTCTCCAAGCACCCCACTTTTCTTTGGGAGGAAATATCTTCTAGATCTTAGGCTGTGACTTAACTAAGCCCTCTTATGCCAGTGCCTTGGACGTGACCCTTGAGTAGCCACCGCCTAGTGTGAATGGACATTTTGCTTCTCCTTGTCATGGTGTTTCTTGGAAGCACTGCACAGCATGGGTGTTCCTGTATTCACCGCTAGAAACAGTCAGGATTGAGGCCTTCAGAAAATAAAAATGCCTGCTTTGCTGCCCCCCTCCACGGGAGACAGTCTGCTGAATTGAATTACTAGTCTGCATTCTCCTCTGGGGGCTGATGATGAATTCAGCCAGTGGTAGGCTTCATTTGCGAACTGTGGCCAGTTTGGTTATTTGGACTTCAGACTGTGGAGGCATCCCTGGCACTGTTGATTGCTTTTTAAAGTTATAATTTCACATGATTGACTCAACACTCACCATGCCTGCCTAATATGTAGGCCAGTTCTTTTTAATTAAGAAAACGTGTTGTCTCTGATTTTGGCTTCAGCAAAGCCATCCAATTATTTTTTTCCAAGTCCCTTTCAACTTTTTCTTTCAATCTGATGAGTTAAAAATTAATTATGGATATTAAAGCGGCCTAATTTGTAATAAGCTCCAAGGGTCCCTATTGTCCCTTGGTCTCCCCACTCCACTTTCCAACCCAGTCCCTCTAGTTTGCTTCCTTACTTCCTGGGCAAAGGAATCCATGCCAAATCCCTCTGATCTCACATATTTCAGAACCCAAAGAAAGCACTGAGATGAAGGGATCTCTCATCTCTGTCTTCTCTGAACCTCCCAGGAAATGAGAAAGGACTCAAATTCAGCCTCTCAAAGCTCTGCTTTATGCACTTGGCTCTTTCTTCTATTAATGGGCATGCAGAGGGACAGACTTCTACCTGAGAAAGGATTTCTCGGGCTGGAAATGCAGCTCAGTTGATAGAGTACCTGCCTAGCATGACAAAGCCATGGGCTCAATCCCTAGTGCCGTATTAACTGGGTATGGTTAATGCCCATAATCCTAGCACTTGGGAGGTAGAGGCAGGAGGATCAGAAGTTCAAAGTCATCCTTGCCTACATAGAGAGCTGGAGGCTCTCTATGCCAACAGCCAAACCTGTTGGATACAGTATAAAACTGTCTCAAAGTAAATACATAGAAACCCTAAAACTAACTAACCAACCCAACAGCAACAAACCCAAGGCAAACTAAGAAAGGAAACATGGATTTTGCTTGGAGAATGGACGTGTCTCTTTATAGGCTCCCCTTCCAGGCTGTTGAAGGACCAGAGGTTGCCAGGCCTTCATGACCTAGTTCATTTTCAGAAAAGATGCCACCTGCAGTGTGGCTCCAGCCACTCCCCTCCCCCAAGCCTTTCAGAATATTGGAGGGAGAGATTTCCATTCTCTGGTTACTCACTCCTTCGATAGTACACTCCCAGGGCATTGACACTTCTTCCCAAAGCGGCCTTGTCTAGAAGAAGCCCACTAGGGACATCGTGCACCTGAGTAAAGATGTCAACGTCATTCATCAAATCACCTGTCATCAGAGTGAAACATGACAAGCAACTATTTTAGGAACTGAGCTGTGGATTCCCGAGACAGCAGGCCTGCCCAGCACAAGGAAGTGGCCAAGAGCCCACCTGCTGCCTCCCAGTCCCCAAAGCCCACCCCAACCTGCTCTACCATGTGTACTTGACTTCAGGCTGGACTCTGCAGACATGTGCAGCACACAGTGGGTTTGGAGGGAAGTCTCCCTGCGTGGTGTCCACGTGCCCATGCTTCTCTGCAGCTGTCCTCTCCGCAGGCATGGTGGACGTTGGCTGAGTTGCACTTTTCTCATGGGCCTGCACAGCCTCGGGACATGTCTTTATTGTTTTTACACCTGTTTGACAGTGCTGGGCCAAGCTGCTCTATGTAGCCCAGGAGGGATTCTTATGAATCTGGCAATTGTTTCCCAGCCCCAGTTCTTGCCAGTCCAGTGCGCTCTGAACCCCTGCCCCGGGTCTTTGAACTGTAGTCTGAAGTCTCTGCTGACTGCCATTCTTCCTCTTTTATAATATTTCTCTTGGCCTCTGCTGTTTTGTTTGTGGGGGACTGCGATACCATTTGGCCAATCCATTGTAAGATCAATGAATGGATGGCCTTGAAGGATGATTTCTTTTGGCAATTCCAGGTTCTGCTGTAGCTAATTTTTCTGGACCCTCCATGACACATCTGGGGAGGAGAGGGCCATTTATGTCATTTCAAGTTTTCTAATGAGTCTGATGCTGTGACTTTGAACTGGTCTTTGTTTTATCAGATGATCATTGGAATTGTTACTGTCACTGTTTTTGTTATTGTCATTGCAAGGGAAGGGGATTTTCTTTTGGTGGCACTGGGCTTTGAAACCATTAGCTAACCTCTTTACCACTGAGCTATAGCCCAGTCTTCACTATTACTGTTACCAGATGATGTGAAATTTTGTTCTTGCTGTTTCTGCCTATGAAATAGCAAGCCCACAGGACGGAGCATCCTCAGGCATGGCTCTGTCCTTGTTAAGGTCTGAGCATTCTCAGGCATGGCTCTGTCCATGTTCAGGAACGAGCATCCTCGGGCATGGCTCTGTCATTGTTCAGGAACGAGCATCCTCGGGCATGGCTCTGTCATTGTTCAGGACTGAGCATTCTCAGGCATGGCTCTGTCCTTGTTCAGGACTTAGCATCCTCAGGCATTGCTCTGTCCTCGTTCAGGACTTCTGTCCTTGTCTGGATGGAGTCCTAGTGTCCCTTCAGTGGCACTGCTGGTGATTCCCCAGATTTGTGCACAGGATGCCAGTGAGTCAGACACCGTGTCCCTGGGCTGTATCGTTGGCCCTGGGGCTAGAGTGGCTCCATGTTTTCATGGTTTTGTTTTTGCCTCTAACTCTGCCCTCACTTGGACAAAGCTGTGATCTTTTCTCCCATTTGAGTGGATATGTTCTTATTAAATTTTAGCTGCATGCTTTTTTTTTTTTTAATCTGGCCTTCCTCAGACCCCTTTTGTAAACAGATATCAATGGTGGCGTGGGTAAGAGGATTTTTTTTTCAGCTGCCTGCCAATCTGTAAAAACAAAACACACAAAAAAATTGGGTCAGCATCATTCCACGTGGAGCCCAGAGCACCCACCCCTGAGCTACAGAAACAAATATTCCAAAGGTCAGGGACCTTCACAAATATTTATACGCTCTCTGCCAGCCCTCACCATGGAACTATAAGGAAACACAAGCTTGGCCTGAGAATATCTGTAGGAAAGGAAACAGGAGGACTGAATTCCTGCTTTTCCTCTCTTTGGCCTCAGTCCTTAGTAACAAAAATGTCAATGTCTGGCTCTAAAAGAAATAGCTTCTCTTTCTAGAAAATTCTCTGTGTTGAGCACCAGGCATCTTCTCAGACAGCTGGGATGATTGGGAAGTGGACAAAGTTCTTGGACTCCGTGATCTTGGGTCTGCTGTAGAGTGGAAGCTAGAAAACCAGGGGTGAAAAAGTTGTCCCTGTCTGCGTTCTAACAACAGTTTTCAAATACTGACCAACCAGGTGATCTTTAGTTCCATTGTAACATGAGCCAACTCATTAGAGCAAGGTCCCCAGCAGGAATGCCATGCCCTATCAGACTCTATCCTGAGGTAAGGTCTCTAAGTCACCCACATCTCTGTCTAATTTTCCTATAAGTTGAGTTTCTGTGCCCACTCCTTTCATATTTAATAATTTTCTCCAGAAGCTCTATATTTATGATTACCATTTTGTTGTAAACTCACGAATGGTCTAATCAGATCTAGAACAAGGTGGAGTAAGGGTTGGGGTCCTCCTGGAGTTTCTGTTCCCTGTCTGGTGCACGGTTCTTTGACAGAATCAGAAGTACAGTCATCTAGACATGTCACTGAGCCTCATGGTCCAGGGTTTCTTTGTGGTAGCTCAGTCCATTCTGTGTTGCTATAACAAAGTATCTGAGACTGAGTACTGTATGAGACAAAGCTTATTTTAGCTCATGGTTTGGAAGCTGGAAAAGTTTGGCTGGTGACTTGTGATGAAGACCTCATGAAGTGTCATAGTATAGAAGACAGTTTCACATTGGATCCAAGGACAGAAAATAGTACATAAAGAAGACAGTAAACATGGGTAACCTTGCTTTATAGGAATCTAGTGACAAGGTAACTGATTTGGTCACTAAGAAGGCATGCAGCACCTTGTGAGGTGGTGTCCCATGACATCATTACCTCCTCCGAGGCCCACTTTAGTTCTATCCTCACGGCTTATACCGAGGACTGAGTTTCCAGCATACAAACCTTTGAGCAACATACGTTCCATGCATGAACCATAGAATATGGGATTTTGTTACCGTGTACGATAAATAATTGGTCACATGATCTCCAAAGGTGAAGCAGGCCCAGAGCTCCAACCTTCTTCTTATGTGTTAGGCTTTTCTGGTGACCAGCACACACCTTGAAAGCTTTCTAGGGGCCTACAGTGAAAGGTCTAGGTGTGGGTATGTGGTGGGGTCTTGTTAACCTAACTAAGATACTCCTCTCAGCAAATTTCAAGGGTTTTCTATACTCTCAGCTAGGAAATAGAGACAAAAAATAGATGATATATATTTTTTTGAGACAGGGTATCACTTTGTTGCCCTGGCTGACCCAGAACTCATTATGAAGTCCAGGCTGGCTTTGAACTCATGGTGAATGGTCCTACCTCAAATTTCCCAGGTTCCTAGATGCTGGAATTACATGTGTGCACTACCATGCCTGAGCAGGTACATTTTTTTATTATTCTACACTGCTCCTATCTGCCTGACCTCTGAAGGAAATGAACGTAGAAATCTCCACTTTGTTAGATGGCCAGTGATTCTAAGGGGATCTCAAAGATTCTGAGGAGGTGTGGAAGAAGGACAAGGCAGAATTATGTTGGCTTAGGGACATTCTAGATGAGAGCCTATGTAGGGATCATATAGTTGGCCATGACAGTTGTAAGAAATACAAGGAACCAGGGCCTTGGAATCGTCAGAAGACGATGTACCCAGATGGCAGGAAACAGTTCTGATGCCCCAAGGAAAGTGAGGAGGTCCTCCAGTGGAGCTGTTCTTAATGATATTTAATATCTGAATGCGTATTTTATTAATTTTACCATCAATCTACTTAGTAAATCTTTCTGTAATTTTGAGTTACTTTTGAGAATTTTTCTGCTCAGTATACTCTAATTTCACCACAGTTTGACATCACAGGAATTTGTTTATTCTGCTTAGGACTCATTTGAAGCTGTTTATCTTTCTCAGTTCTAGGAAATCCCCAGAGCCTTTAGGTCTCCAAGCATCACTTGCCCCCCATCACTGTTGTCAGGAGTTCCAGATAGAAGTATGTTGGGTTCTTTCAAGTCTCTTTATAGATAATCATATTTTCCTACCATTTATTTTTGTTATATTTTAAGAGGTTTCTTTCAATGAATGGTCTGATTCTTCCCTCTGAAGTCTCCCATTCCATTTCTAATGCTTATTGTTTTAATAAAGTTCAACTTGTTCCTTTTTTTTTTTTACATCCACCCATCTTTGTTCTTTTGCCATAATGTTCTTGCTTTAGTATGTCCTGCCTTTCTATTACGTATGCATCTTTTGTAGCCCGACCTCTAATTCTGGAAGCTGTTTCTCCTCTTCATTCTTTTTCATTGATGAGTTGTTTTTAGCAGGAAAGGCTTGTCTGGGCAGTGGTGGTTCAGGGTGAGAATTCTCCATGCCCTGAATAAAGAAATTTCCCTCCATGGTGGCTCTGAATTTCCTTCTCATGTGGACTTAAAACCATAGGTCGAGGAGGGACTTGTGCAAGGTCAGGTAGGCAGGGTGGGGGGTAGGGGAGGAAATGAGGAATCAGTAAATACTTGACCCACGTCTGTCTGTCTTCCCAGGTCACTAGCCTGTGTTGGTACTGCTTCTTAACAGAGTTAAGAGTTCTGCACACTTCTGATTTGGGGCTGGGAACTCCAAGAGTTAAAGTGTTAAATTCCAGCTCAAGTATATCTATCTGTTAGGTAACTCACTGGTTTGTATAGTCGATTGACCAGGGCAGGGGGTAGTGTGTGTGTGATCTAGATTCTATCTCTTCTTAGGTAACACACTGGTTTGTATAGTCGATTGACAAAGGAGGGATAGTATGTGTGTGATCTAGACTCTGTCTCCTCTTGACCATTTTAGAGGAAGAATCTTCCTCCAAAACTACTTTTCCTCCTTCCCCTTCTCTGACCTCTCATACCTAAACAAACATGCCTGTGTGTCTTTAAAAACCATACTCTGAACTCCCCAATTCAGAAACCTTCCTGGCTCATTACCTCCACTAAAAAGTCCACTTCATTGTTGGCATTCTGAGTCATTCATTTTCCCAACTTTATCTCCCAACTCCACCCATTCCAGCAGAACTGCCCTCTTCCTCCCAACCCCTCACTGTCCTGAAGTCAGTTTCAGTAGCATTGACTCATAACCCTTGACTGTGCCATTTGTCTTGAGTTGTAGTTGAGTTACCTGAGTACATTTCTCACACAGCCCCTTTGAGTGTCTCAGTTCTTGGAGGACAGAAGCCATCCATGATTCATCTGCTTCCCTGGCATCAGGCAGAGGATGTGCCTGTGACAGAAAATCTGCTCTGATGGGCTGAAATGAATCCGTGTCCCCAGGCCTCCCGGTGAGGGTGTTAAGCCAGGCCAGTGCCTCCTGAACTGTCCAGGTGGATTCAGCCGGTTGTTTTGGGGAACTGCTGACTTTGGAATACTTGTTTTAGGGCACATATAAAGAGCTCAACAAGAGCAGTGAAGTAGAGCCCATGAACAGGAGCGTGTGTCATCCCAATGTCACCCTGTGGCCCATTTTGGCCAGCAGTATCACCCAAGCCCCATGTCATGACTGGGTAGTCCACATTTGAAATAGTGACTCCTGCCTGACACAGTTACCTGGTAATGACTGGGGATCACTGCACATCCATCTGGACCCTGCACAAAGCAGATGTATTCGATGCACATTTGCTGTCTAAAGGTGTCCATGAAATTAGCAGGGTGGCAAAGCAGACCCCAGGGTGGGCAAAGTGCAGTGTGTTCTACAGCTCCCCTAACTCAGTGCCAACTTTCTCTAACTCTTAACACATTCTTTCGCAGCCCAAGGAGAATGTGTTATTTAAACCACTTTTATTTTGAAACAAGATTAGAAAAAAAATGAGCATTAATTTCTCCAGTAGCTCTAAATTTAGGCAAACAAATGGGACCTCCACTGAACTGTTGGGGGACCATGTGTGTCAACAGGGCCTGGCTCAGTTGTCCTGAGCATCACACAGTGCCTGGCATGAGAGGAAAGCTCTCGTGTAAGTGAAGGAATGAGTGGGTTAATGAGTACATCTTTTTATCTCCTCAACAGACTACAACAGCAGTGAATTAAAAACAGCCTGCAAAAAGCATGAGCTGTATGTGAGCTTCCAGGACCTGGGATGGCAGGTGAGTCCTCAGAATAAGGATGAGCCTCAATGGGTCCCTCACTGATGGCTGCCACCATCAGCTTTCAGGATGTTGATTCTGGAATCCAAGAAGCTCTCAAATGTTCAGGCTGCTGGAGGAAGGCACCTGGTGGGCTGATGTACTAAGCACCCGCCCACTTTGCCTGGTTTCCTCATTCTTTTAAAGTTTGAGGGGTATGTATTTATTTGGACATTTAAGCAGTTTTTACTTTTAAACCAGATTTAAAAGTACTTTCTTACTTTTAAATCATCAGATTAGAAAGTATGATTAATTTCTTCAGTAGCTCTACCCACCCAATGGAAGAACATGTTTGGCTCATACCAAGTACAGATAAATGTGATAAAATGGGAGATAATAGTTGCTTTATACTTCGGTGGCATTACTTTGACAGGGGCGCCATGGGATCCTGTAGATGACCCTTTGGGTCTAAGTAGACATGGCAGATCCTGACCTCAGTATTTTGACCACTTTTCAGCTGTATGATGATGTAGGAGCAGTATGTGTTCACTAGGTATAGAGCTCTGAGTTTTGAAGTTGAGTCTGTCTGGGCTAGAGTTCCCCCAATACAGGACATGATGGGAGGCAGCAGCAAGCTACAGCTCCCTGTTAGCCCCCACCGCGCACTGTGCAATTAGGATGCTCAGTATTTTAGGTGTATCACAGGCATGCTCAGCTGGTATTTTATTGGGATGTAACCTCATCCTAAAGCCAAGGAGCATTTGTACACCAAGCTCTATTCCAGAGCTAGCGGTTTTATAGCAGCTAAGTCATAGGAGTCTATGGAACGACTGAAGGCTCTAGGGTCAGATCAACCAGGTTCATGCTTTAGCTTCGTTGAATGTGAACTTGGGCAATTCCCAAACCTCCCTTTATGTCCCCATACTGTGCACCGTGATCAATGCCTTCTCTCGGGGCCACCAAGAGTGCAAATGGCATAGGGACACCGGATGGTCTTTCACTGCCTCCTTTTGCCTTATCACAAGGACTGGATCATTGCACCCAAAGGCTATGCTGCCAACTACTGTGACGGAGAGTGTTCCTTCCCACTCAATGCACACATGAATGCCACCAACCACGCCATCGTACAGACCTTGGTGAGTGCTCTGACTTGGCTCTAAGTGGGATCAAGCCCAGACCAGGTCACTTCTAACAGGCCCTCTCCCGTTTCTATTTGGGAACAGGTTCACCTTATGAATCCTGAGTATGTCCCCAAACCATGTTGTGCACCAACTAAGCTGAATGCCATCTCGGTTCTTTACTTTGATGATAACTCCAACGTCATCTTGAAAAAATACAGGAATATGGTTGTGAGAGCTTGTGGATGCCATTAAGCTGAAGCCAGGTGTGGGAGTGACTCTGCCTTGGATTCCTAACTAAATCTGCCTTAAAACCCATGAAGAAGCACAGTGAAAGGGGGATGATGGCCCTCTGGAAGCATCTCCTGCTGGTGCCTTAGCCCAAGGGGGATTTTATGAGGACCTTGCTGATGACTTCCCAGTTCACAACTGAGTCAGGAGTTGTAATGCTTTCAGAACAGGCCTGGGAACCGCAGACGCATGCCTGAGCTCACTTCCCAGAGTCCCACCCAGACTAGTTTTAGCATTTAGATCTAGCTGTTTGTGGTATGAGTAGAGAATAACCTTGAAGGAATACTAAATATCCCTGGCTGAAAGGGCAGCTGGTTCAATAGCACCCATGACTGGGAGATAGTGCAGTTAACAGAATGGAGGGAAAGAGAGAGCTCTGTCAGATTGCATTCCCAGCAAGACCAGCTCACCCAAGACCTGCATCCTGGCCATCAACACGCTCTGTGGAGATGCCTTTTGTCTGCTGTTGCAGTTACATGTTTTTGTTGACTCTTGGTGGTGTGAACATATACTAATTTCAGTCAAACCAAACAGTAGCATTTCTACACCTCCCTCAGTTCCTGAATTCTTTACTAGAACGCAAAGCAGATGGATCATACTTTGTGGTAGGGCCATGAAGCATCTGCAGTAGCCTTTATCTAAACCACATAACAGCAGAAAGTGACTCCACACCTCTTAAGCAGACTGGGTTGGCAAGCTCTTTAACATCAGGAACACTGGCTCCAACACACCAGCTCTCTCCTAACTCTGTTCTTTGCCTTTTTCCTACAGTAGCATTCCATGGCTCAGGGCTAGTCAACAGCAGAAACCCACAGAGGAAGGGCCCCTGGCCTCTAAGAATGGGTCTGTCGAGGTGAGCATGCTGTTTGTGAACCAAAACCACGATTTCCTCTTGTAGAAAGTAAGCCTCAAATTAAATCGTAGAATATTTTTTAGATATCTTTTTCATAATCATGTACTGGGAAGCCAATTTCATACTAAACTGATTAAATAATACATTTACAATCTGTAACTGTACTTACAGCTTTTTTTGTAAATAGAAACTATAATTTATTGTCTATTTTATATCCATGTTGCTGTAACATTTAAGCAAAGACCAGACTCTTTTTTTTCTTTAAAAAAAAATTTATTTAGAAAGTATAAACCAATTGTACCATTTGAGTTTTCTTTTAATACAAGACTCATGATGCAAAGCTGAAGCCACTGTGAGCTGGGCCTCTAGAGCTGGTTTTAAAGGACAGCTGTGAACCACACATGATTAATAATAAATGTCTGTAACGGGCTGGCAGGGCGCCTCCGCTGCTCAGGAAGTAGACTTGGTCTTGTTTCTAGTCTCCTTACCATACATTCTGTGCCAGGGGTTGAGTTCACCTGCTCATGGGAGGTGGGTGAAGGGTCTGGGCACAAACTGCTTCTGAGGACAAGCAACTCAATGGCGAAAGACAGAGAGGCACGGCGCGAGCTTAGCTGCATCTCTGCAAGGGTGAGAGCAGCAATGTCTAATATCCAGGACAGCAAGAAACAGAGGGAGCTAATGTGACATCCAACCTTGGGCTCGGGCAGCCCTGCCAACTGCAGTCTTTGGTCTTCAGGTCAAATGAATCCCACTGCTCATACACTAGATGGTCTTCATAGAGCAAGCTGCTAAAAGGACTGCTTGGGAAGAGAATCAGAGCTGTTGCTAGGAAGGCCCAGTAGAGCTGCAGAGTCTCCCTGGGCCTGGGAAGCCCATCGGGTACTTTTGCCCCAGGAGACAAGTAGAATGGTGAGGACCACTGTGTGGATGTTCCCACACCCTCACTTTCTGCAGAAGACAGCTACACCCTCCACCTTATGCAAAGCAGACAAGAGGATCCCTTGAACAACATGAATATTTTGAACATACATCAGAAGTACCACTCATCATGGCTTACCCCTCTCAACTAGACAAGTACTAACAGAACCAGGAACCCAACAGTGGCTATGAAGGTATCTTCAAAACTCTGGATTTTGTTTTGTTTTGCAATCTCCAAACTATGCATCACCACATTATGAAGTCAACTGTGACCTTCAGATCTGAGGGACATCAATTGTGCCACAGTCACCTTTCCAGAATTTAGACAGTTCAAAAGCCTGCTTCCCCACATTCCCTAGGGGCCAAGAGAGTTCAGTAATTTGGTTTTTCTTAACTGTATTTTAGTTGCAAGGGAAGCCAATTTAATATTGCCAAGAGAAGGTTACAGGGTGGATTGCCACTGAAAATATTTGCCCAGCTTGATTAGAGACACGCAATCAAGATCCGTAGTGTGTGGTGGCTGAAGAAGCACACATGGAGAAGATACACAGGCTGAGGACACACCGTTTTCTGGCTAACCACAGTGGAAACATGGATGTCCATGTGATGTCACTCCTATGCACTAGGAGCATTTCTTCAGGGGTGGGGGTTTCTATAGTTCATCCTTTGCCTGACGTAGGACAAAGCTGTGTAAAGAATCAAGGTCTCTACCTCCATTGTGCTCACCCACTTTTTCTCCTCCTCGGAAAAGCAGCAATGTGGGATAGCCTCGCACCTTTAAAAGAGAAAGAATGAGCACTTTAAATCATACCTAAATTGTTCCCTGAAAACTGAGTGGCAGGGGAGACGGTCAGTCAATAAGATGCCACAGCACCCATATAAAAAAACCAGGCCCTGGGAGTGCCCATCTGTAATTCCCGTGTTAGAATTGAGTCCAGGAGTCGAGATTGGCCAGTCAAGCCAACCCATTCTAGGTTCAGCAAAAAAGATCTCATCTCAAAAACTAAGGTGGACAGTGACTAAGAAAGACATCAACACGTGGGGAGTCTCACATCACTGAGCACACAGGTAAGGCTGGGAAAATCCTGTCATCTGTAGTACAGTGTGATTGGGGTATGTAAGAGGCTCTGGTTCCATGCCCATCACCACATGAGCTCAGAACAAACAGACTGGCTCTTTAGCCATGTCCTTTCCCAAGAGTGGTTTAGATTTATAGATTTCTTTCAGCCCCATCCTTCAGGATGTTTGTTTATAATTGAATGCTGAGCCCTCGGGTGGTTAAGACAGGGTGGCAGGTGGGGCCACAATGGCAGCACACCTCTCTCAACACCTAGTACCTCAGTACTAGACAGCTAGACCAGAGAGGCCTCAGAGCCTTCTCTGCAGGAGAAGGCTGGCCTTTCAGAGTATCCTTTATTTCTCAAATGACGCAACTCAAGATACAAGCCACTCTCTAGGGAGGCCTGGACAGAATGAACTCATTCCATGCTGCCAGTGACAGTCTCCTGGGGCGGTAATCCAAATCTCCAGCTCCCTTTCCCAGGCATATTTTCCCTGAGGTACCCACCGAGTACTTGGTGCAGACATTACGCTCAGCAGTGCAGTCTACTTTTGCAACGGTGACCTCTGCCAGGCCAGGGAATTCTTTTTTAGAGAGCTCCTCCCAGGTAGGAGCCAGATTTTTACAGTGGCCACACCTAGAAGAGAACAGGGGCAGCTGTGCTGAGATCTGGGTCAAGGTCATTCTGTGTTTCTCCTACATGACAGTCACAATTATCCTCAGAATCCATACCATCAAATGCTCCCACTAGCCACACATGGGCCCTTCCTTTCCTGAAAAGGAATTGAAAGTCACGCCATACTTGATAACCTGACATGATTAGGGAGCTGGCTGATCCATGCCATCACTGGGAGCAGCAGGGGTGGGCAGGACGGACAGTTTAGACTGGACTGCCTATGGGGTAGACAGTAGGTAGGAGGGTCTTCTTTCTACGGCATCTGTACAGCCTTAGCTTTTCCAAATAAAGAACATTTTTAATGGCATTATGTGGGAGCCATTTCTTTTTAGTGGTTTCTTTTCGTAGTAGCCCATGCTGGCCACAAACTTGGTCCTCTGGCCTTAGCCTCCCTGGTGGAGGATTTCAGGCATGAATCACCATACCAAGCTGCCCAAATCACATGTCATGTCCTTATTAACCTTTCGGTCCTGAGTACACAGAGTGTATAAGCTGATAAGAGTGACACAGGGACCTCTGTGTATTTGGGTCAATCATCAAATACTCTTCCACAGACTCGGCTTATTCAAAGGACTGTTGTACTTAGGAAGACAAATTGTTGGTGCAATTTTATAGCTAAGGAAAAGAGATTCAGGGACATCAAAGGACATGCAGAGTTCCAGCCACTCATGGAATCGATCATCCTCCAGTACTGGGCTAGCTAGGTTTCGGTTTGCTCTCCATCTACTCTTATTCTGGTTCCTGAGGACCACATGGCAGGAAGGTTCACGTCCTGACTGTCTTGAAGAGAAAACTGAGCTCTCCTCAACTTTTCATACAGCCATCCCAATTTACTTCCATTTCTGTTTGTGTCTAAGTAGACTGAGCTTTAAAGTAAATAAAACTCTTGCTCGACACGGTGCAGCGGCATCATTCCCTGCAAGAAGGCTGCACAGCTGAAAAGTGTACCGTGAGACAGCATGCACTTGCACAGTGTCTAAGATAGCCACTTACCATGGAGCATAGAACTTGACAAAGGTTATTCCTTGTGCAATGGTGTCCTCAAAGTTCTTTTCTGTGAGTGCCAGCACAGTGCCCTTCAGGGATGAAGATGAATCGAAAGACACTGATTAAAAGAGAACAGGGCAGAAGGACAAAATCTGGCCAGAGCCATCTACAAGTTACATGCAGGGCAGCCAGAGCTCTTGCTGGGCAGCGACTATGCGAGCTGGGGACAGTGGGCTGAGACAGACCTTTCAGCCTCTGTTCTGTCCATAACCAACCCAGGGGCTTCAGATACAGGCACTGTCCTCTATCTAGGCTCTGCGGTGTGGACCAGTTCATTCCAGGCTAACGCCTATAGCCCTGGAGCCTGCAGCCCAAGATGCCTGTGGATCTGCACGAGCTCACATGCCATTTTTCTCTGTCCTGCTTATTTTCAAGCATTTAACTTTTTTAGCCAACAGGAACCTAGCAGCATCGGTGATTTTAATTAGACCCATATCAATGGGCTATGTTTCCTGATGTGTAAAATAAGTGTGAGTATTGCGTCCAGTGCAGGCTGCAGATTCCACATGGGCATTTTAAAGTAATTCTATCTTGACAGCTCTTTATGGGATCTCATCCGTATTTCTCTAAAAGTTAATGTTCAGTAGCCCGGGAGGGTGCCACTGTGGGGCATTCCACAGCTCAGTGTTCTGTTGCAGATTCCCAGACCAAGTGAGCCACTACAAACACTACCATCCTAATGCCCACAATAACCCTGGCTTTTCCAATTTCCATGTATTGAGTTTCCGTGAATGTTGGCCCCAGTGAGTCTCACCCTCTCTGCACAGTGGTGTTCGATGAGTCACTGTCCTCAAGCCAGAGGACAAGGCATGCTCACTAGCCTTGCCTGTGGACCCCAGTATCTCACTATCAAGGAAAGAAGCAAAAATATCCATGCAGCTGTACCTTGGTCCCTCTGTCAGAGTTCGGGATTTGCTCACGTGAAATGACTGGACAACATGCATAGCATATACACACATGCTCCCATATTCCTTAGCTGGTATGTGTCACACCATGTGGACCTCCTGCCCTAGTCCCCGAGACCTGGACTGACTGCCCTCTCACACACATAACCTGGAAACCAGCTCCAGGCAACCAAACTTACTACCACCCACTCCCCACTTCTTACTTGTGTTGGGTATCTGCCAGCACTGGCCAGAGACTCCAGAAATCTGAGTCACCTCAGACTCCTCCTTCCCTTGCTCCTGCTCCCCAGGAATTACCCTCACTTGAGTGGGATCCTTAGGCTCCCTCCTCCTACCCCCACTATCTCACCCCTACAGTGGGGTCTCCTTGTGTTTCAGAGCCCAGAACAACAGTTCTCCTTCCTGAAGATGACCTGCTCAAACTTTCTAGGGCTCCACCTCCAGCCTCTATCTCTTCCTTCTTGGGCACTCCACTGCACCAGTTCCTCTCAGTGCCTTCCTGCCTGGCCCTGCTCTGAAGGCAACAGCTCATTCTGGGAACTGTATCTAGTTCACATGCGCCCCCCTCTGGCCACTTTTGAGCCATCAGTTCTGCAAACACTTGCTCATTTCTCTTCTCTCTAGGCTGGCTACCCTGTACACAAGCTTGTCACAGCCCCATGACACCTGCTCATATATCCTCCAGAGACCCAGCACCTGTCACAGGCTGGAAAATAGTCATAAGAGGTTTTTGGGTATTTTCCCCCATGTATAATATGCCTGAAGCTTGATAAATACAAAACTAAAATCTAAAAGTCTAAAACCCAAAATCCCTTGGGACTGGAGAAATGGCTCAGTGATTAAGAGGGCTTGCTGCTCTTGTACAGGACCCAAGTTTGGTTCTCAGTTCCCACAGTGGGCAGCGCACAGCTGCCTGTAATTCCAGGTCTAGGGGATCAGATGCCTCTGGCCTCTGCAGGCACCTGCACATACACACTCCCACCTATACACTGAATTAAAAGTAATGAAAATAAACCTTAAAACCCAAGATCCTTGAATGAAAGAGAACAGAGGCTGCCAAACAAATGAAATATTCTGTGATCTGGCTACCTAATTCCCTGTACAGCCTTTCCTGCTGCAGATCTCCTAGGAGCCTGTGCTACAGAGTCAAAGTAAAATGACAGCAGCCAGTTCTGGAGTGAACAAGATGGGGTCAGGGCAGCAGGAAAGGCATCACAGCAAACCCTCACATATGTTGTCCCCAAGTCACTAGGGCAAAAGGACAAGCTCTGGAGGCTTTTGACACCAAGTAGCTTCTCTCGGGATTTTCTCACACCTACCTCAGGCTTTTTCAAGGGAAACCTCTGCTGACCTTGGCCATGCAAAGCATCAAACAGTAGACAAGAAATCATTTCACACTGAGAAGACTCTGCAGGTAGGCAGGACCATCTCCCTTCATTGACAAGCACCCACCTTGTCACCTGTGGGTTCAGCAGCCAGCACTGGGGCCTCTGAGGGTTCGACAGTCTCCGGGGCCACCTCTGGATCCTGCATTTGCGACTCCACATAGTCTCTCAGTGACTCCAAGTCCCGCTTTCCCTTGTACTGATCCACCTGTCCAAGACACAGGCCACAGCGATGCTGCCAGCATTCTCATGTGCTCCCCACTCATTTCCCCAGTTAGGCCCCCATCAGGGGTCTTGGTTCCAGCTGTGTCTCTTGTGATATCTGCCTGCTCCCACTTAGAGGGGAAATTCAATTCCACAACACCCACCTCTACCCCTGCCTGCCCCCACACAAGCTATATATACATCATCAGAGTCTAAAGTGGGGACCAGTCATCCATCCATCCTACTTCCTTGAGGATCCTGAGATGCTGACCACGGGCAAGGCATGGAAGGGGGCGGGGAACAGGACCCCATTGAGAGCAAGCATTATTCTATTCTGAGCCCTGCAAGATCTGTGTTCATACCAGAGCAGGCATCCAAGGCCTGCCTGCACAGGTGTCTAATTCCAATGAAAACCCAAGCTACCAAAAATGCCGCACAACAGTTTGACAAATGTCAGCTTTCCTATCTACTAGGTCTTATCAGTTAGGGAAGCACACATACTGTATTCCACTATACACATACCCTGTAAACTCTCAGAAACTCAGTGCAATGGCTAGTGGAGGGATTATCCCCATACATCACACAGGGGCTGAAGACATACCTTCTTGCCATCTCGAAACCAGAGCAGAGTTGGATAGCCTCGAACCTGGTTTTCTGAGCAGAGTCCATAGTGCTGTGTGCAGTCGACCTGTAATCAAAGTACAATAAAGTTAGTTTCTTCACAGTCCGGGGAAAGGCATTATCAGACAATTTATACTTTACTATCAAAAAAAGAAAGGTTTTAATCCAGATTCCATAGCTTCCATGGCAGCACTCTGCAAGTTTTAGAAAGACTTTGCCTAGGAGCCACCCACAGCACTATCCACATTAGTGGCACATGGTGACAAGATTTGTTTGAATTCCACTGAAAATGGCAGAGTTAGGAAGCCTCCCCTAACACTGGGAAGGGGTGTGAGCCAGGCTACTCTAAGGAAGACACTCATCTGGGCAGGTTCCAATGCCATGGAAACCTACTGTCTCTCATAGTTCTACAGTTTCAGATCAAGGCAGGGGACACAGTTCAGTGACATGCACGGGTCCCTGCAATTTGATCCCTGGGCGTATACCCCCACAAGCAGGAGCAAGTAGTCCATATTTAATAAGAACATTTGGTAAGTGTAGCACTGAAACTTGTCCAAGTAAGAAGTACAGTAGCTATTTATTTTGGTGTGAACTGAACCAGGGCCCTGTGCATATGAGGCAAGCACTCTAATGCTGCGCTACACCCCTGCCCTTGTTAAAATACTTGTATTTTGAGATAGAGTCTCAATAAGTTGCCACAGCTGGCCTTGGATCTGTGGCTCTCCTGCCTCAGATTCCAGAACAGCTGGGGTTAGAGACCTGTATCATCAGGCCTGGCTCAGATTACTTCATGTAAATCAATATCCTACATGCTTGATATTTTTACAAGCATTATTTTTTAAATTTTTATCAGCATTAAAACTATCCAAGCAGAACTAAGCTGGTTTTCAGTATGCTAATAAAGAGTTTAAACTATGTTAAGCTGTAAGACTGCAGAGAGAGCCATTCAAGTGCTCAAATGAAGTCCAGGAAACTTTAAGCTAGGTCTGTGAGGGGCACAAGCACTCCCCAGGGTCCTGTCTAAAGTAGCCCCAAGCACCCAGAAGGCCCCTCACAGCCTAAGTCTGCTCATGCCCGCTTCTGCTGAGAGCCTAGATAAATCATCTCCCACAAAAACTCACAAACTAACTTGAGGTAAGGATGCAGAGATTGGGGCAAGACAGAATGCAAGGTGATGCACTATTTCCACACACTGTTCAGGGACTGAAATGATCACAGCACTGAATAAGGCACAGAAAGCATATAGCGGGCAAAGGAGAAAATCCATGCAATGCATGAGGAGGACCACCATTTACCCAGCATCACCTCACCCCAGGGGCCATGCTAAGTAGCAACTTCTCATGTCCATGACTATACACAATTCACTCTGTTTCCCTTCTGCAAAGGAGTAACAGAGGGGAGACATCTCAACCAAGGCCAGCCTGCAAGGGCTGCCCAAGCCTGAGGCTCTGCTTCTGACTTCATACCCAGATATACATAGCTCCACTTCAGCATGCAGAGAAGCCCTGTGGCAACGTGAAAGAGGGAGACTTTTCTCTAGAAATCCCATAAAGGGTGAGTGTCTGGTGACTGTCAGAAAAATCAATGAGATTAAAAGTACCCAGTAGCCCAGGAGCTGCTCTGGGTAGTTCAAGAAGCCCTGGACACACAGAAGTAATGTGTATTACTTGTAACACAAATTGTTACACATTACTTCTGGCTTCTCTGTATCAACAGTTGGAAGGAACTGTGGATGACAGAGCAAAGTAGGGCTCGCCATGAGGACGGGTCTGCTACGAGCTGTGTGAGTGCAGACCCCAGGACCCTGTAGGAAAGCAATTGGCTGAGCTCCATGGACATCCAGTGAACATTCTACAAGGCTCTACCCCCATATCTTTGCATAGCTCCAGGGCTGCCAACTCAGAATTGGCCATCCCTTCAGAATAAATCGGCCAAGACCATAATTTATCTGCAGGCTGTGGAAAAGCCAGCAGACTCCAAAACCAGGCTGCCATCTGTGAAGGTGAAATGAATTGTCAAGTGGCACACTAACTGGAATTAATAAATCAAGTTTTTGACTTTGCACACAGAGTGAATAATGGGCTACTTTGCTAATTAATCCAGCCCAAAGCAGACTCTTTCCACTTTAACAAGCGTTTGCACTTACCTTGCCAATCTTGACAGTTTCGGAATGTTCAAGGCCCAGAGCCAGCTGCTCCCAGGTTGGAGCCAGAGCTTTGCAGTGACCACACCATGGAGCGAAGAACTTGATAAAGTGGTCGCCTGGAGGGAAGACCAAGGCAGAGAGGAAGGGGAAAGAAGCACTGTGGTTTACATCACAGGAGACCAGATGTGAGCTGAAGAAGACAGCTCTGTTTTCTTGTTCACAGAGCTCAAACTCTTCTGGGAGAAAGGGACTTGCCACCACGTGTGTTTATATCGGAGTTCCAAACAGTAACTCAAAATCAACTGGTCATTTCTGAAGGGTTACAGAGAACCAACTCACACTGAGAAAACAGGCAAAAAGGGAAAGAACTGTACATTTACTCTGCCTCTTTTACCACCTTAACACTGCAAGAGGTAAATAAAGTCACCACTAATAAGTCTGATGAGGGAGGGACCAGACATTGGCCATCGGTGTGGCTCCAATCACAATCACAGAAACAGACACGCAGAGTCACTGGCAGCCATAAGGCCTTCCAGCACCCCAAAGCATATATGGGAAAACCAAAAAAGGAGCTGTGTGAATCCACCAGAGATGTATCTTATCAGCAGGGTCCAGACTGTGGGGAATTCTGCAGGTCCAACAACCATGTGCTCAGTAGACAGCACAGAAAGAAAGGGTGGGGAGCATGCCGAGCTACAGAACCTCACACAGACACCCCAGCCTTCAATGCGTTAAAAAAAAAAAAAAAAAAAAAAAAGCATTTAAGATCCATAAAATGCAACATAAACTTGGGAGAGAAGAAGAAAAGCATTCAACTGAGCCATAAGTCACACACTGAGCTCTGAGGCCATGAGGAAAAGTCATGGGCCCACGCAAGCGCCTTTGGGAGAGACCTGGATGTGGGTGAGGCACAGTAGGCTGTGGTTTTTGACCTGGACAGTGGTCATGGAAAACTGTCTTAAAAAATCACCCTGCTTTGGCTTTCTGTACTTACATTATAGTTTGCTAAAAACCAGGTTATAAAAACAGAACAAAACAAAAAACCCTCCTGACTAGTTTAAAAATAAAAACAAAATCAAGTTCTCACAACATTATTTTCTGGACACTGGAGATTTTTTTTATCTGTCTGTTCTACTTTACTCAGGCTGACAGCAACCCCAAATCAGGAGAGAACCATCCCCCAGTGGATGTTACAGTGTGATGGACCCGCCACACTGACGGCTGAGGCTATGGTCTCCTTGCTATGACAATAATGCGCTTCAGGGAAATGGTCACTTATTTGAAATTAGGAGCAACTTATCTTCAAGGCTAAAACCATCTCTTTGCAGACATGTGGAGTACTAACCCTGGGCAGCAGGATGGAGACTGAAGCCCCAGAAGCCAAGCTGCTCTGATGGGAAGCCAGATGGGCAGGAAGCCCTAGCTGCCTATTGAGGAAATAGCCTCAGTGATCCCTGGAACACCACCATGTAGGGTGTGTCCTGCAGGAGACACTTGCACTGGGTGGGGCTTGGCTGGATTGTGCGGGACTGTCGATGACAAGGTGATTTGGGTGCACATTCTACACAGAGCCCAAGATGGTTTGCCTTCCCAGTAGGGGAAACCCCGAAGTCCCATGGCTGGAGTGCTAAAGCAGATGACATAACTCATGCCGGTAGTAATGGAAGACACTGTGAAAAGTATTTGGATAATACAGGCACGAGGAGGAGGCCTGGCTCCCCGCAGGCACTGGCTTCATGGGCAGATACAGTTCTAAGTCCTTTTTCACAGTGTGTAGGAGCCAGTCTTCCAGGGGGGTTTCTTTCCGTGGCAGCATTGATAATGGAGCCAGCAAGGAAGCTGTGTTTGCTTTCTAGCCACATGTGCTGGAGCCAACTTCTGAAACATGTCCATGTGTTAACAAAGGGAGACTTGTACTTTACTCACAGTGGGGACTGTAGGTATATACCTAGGAGACCAATTCCAAAAAGGGAGTATAAAGAACACCTAATTTGATTCATAGTTGTAACAGTCCTACTACACTGTTTAAACAACAACAACAACAAAAAAAACGTGCTTGCTTCTGCCTCCAGCCAGTAAACATGTGACTACCATTAATAAAGACTTTCTTATCCAAGGGGGTTGTGTGCACCTAGTGTGCTCACAGCTTTAGTAGAGGGTTAGGCAGACAGGTCAACAAAGGTGAAGAGGAGGCAAGGTGTTAAGCAACAGTCCAACTGGTGCTGAAGAGACAATGTGAGTTGCAACCAGATGTTGCTACGAGCCCTTAAATAGCAAGAGGAAAATCCAGCCCAGAGCATGGTCACCCATTCCATTCTTACCTTGAGAAACATGCAGCTCAAAGTTGTTGGCTGAGAGCTCATACAACCCCTGCTTAAGCTCAGGGGCCTTGGGTGGTTCCGCTTCCGGCTCTGGTGTCTAATAAGAAGCAAAACAATTATCTGTGGGTTTGTCCTTGAGGATGCAGTTGATGCAGGGAGGTGATGTGTCCCTGTCTAGAACCATCCTCACCTGTCTATCTCACACCTGTGCTGAGCAAGGCCAGACAGAAAATCACCTCCACCAAGTACTCCAGGTTCTTTAGCACCAAGCCCACCCTCTAGGACAGCTGCCTCCATCCCAAACTCAACCAAAAAGAAAAAAGGTGAAATCTGCCCAACCCCAAACCATGCCCTCTCCTTGGACCTGGTCTGAGATTCCCCATGGGATTCAAGGTAAAATTCCAATGATTGGCTCTACACAGGTAGGAGCAAAAGACACAAAGGTGGAAAAACGAAGCTAGAGGCGAAATCACAAGGGAGCAGCCCTGGTGACCCGAGGTTCCTGCCAGTGGCAGAGAGAACAAAGAAGAGACTCCACCAAAGAGTGATAGAAAAGTCTAATAAGAACCAAGAACCAGACAAATCACAGGAAGCAGAGATATGGATGGGATGGCCTTGTGAGCTAAACCTAAGAAGGCAATTCACATGATGAGATCTGGGACAGAAATGCATAGCCTTGCAAGGGATCTTCTGCTAGAGCAGCAGCCGGCCCTTACTGTAGGTGACACATCCCAAAGTCTCTGCTTGAAATGACGGATACAACCAGGCCCACCCCATATCTGCCGCTCTTCCTGAGTATGCAGGCCTATGACAGTTTAATTTGTAAATGAAGCACAATGGGAAATTTGATAATAGTGATAAAATAGAAATCACAACAATATACTACAATGAAAGCTATTTAAAACTTGTGAATTAGAGAGAGCCCCAAGGAACCCCGGCCTTATTCCCATCAGACTCAGGAAGAGCCTCCACCAGTCCAAGTCACTTCATCATCATAACCATGAACACGAGGCTGAGATCCAGGAGCCACAGCCCATGCCCAGAGCCACTGACACCAAGCCAGGCACCACAGGCAACTAATGGGGGAGGTCTTTCTGTGTATATGTTTGTCTTATTGGTTGATAAATAAAAAAAACTGTTGGCCAAGAGGGGAGCAAGTTAGGTAGACTAGGAGTCCACCTCGACTAGGAGTCGAGGAGGATTCTGGAAATGTAGTAAACAGAAGTCTTGTGATCCAGGCAGGAAGTGACATAGCAGGCAGACTCAGAATATAAGCAGGGACAAGCAGGAAATCACTCTCTTCCTCCTCCTTTCTCTGTGGAGCTGCCATGTGATCCCGGTAAGAGAAGACGCCTGCCACTGGCATCCGATAAGTTCTTATAAAATATACAGATTAGTAGTTATGATTGATAATTAAGATGGAGCCAGCAAGTAAGAAATCCTAGTCATTGGCCAGCAGCATTGTAACTAATATATGTCTCTGTGTGTTACTTGGGGCCCTAACTTGGCAGCGGGCGGAACTCAGTTGGTTGGTGGGAAGATTTATCATTATAAGCAACAGAGGCCCAGATTACCTCACCAGGTGGCATATGCCAGTGAGGACCAGAAGTCACCCCAGTGAAGGTTTGGAGAACAGTAAAATGGTTCAATGTAAGAAACAGATCTGTTTTCACCAACGGGAACATACATCAGTGGTACAAAGTGGTACAAAGAAGAACCCAAAGAGTACCTTACAGTGTGGGAGACAGAGACAGAAGCTTATGGTGAATAAGGAGAAAGGAGACTGGGGGCAGTAAATATTACAGGCCTTGGTGGAGTAACCAGTACAAGGCAGGAAATACATAGCAGACCACAACCCTTATAGACCTCTCCACACGTGATGACAGAATTTCCAGAATAGTGAAAGTGGGGAAAGGAGGAGGTATGGAGAGCCCACAACACTAGCCCTGCCACAAGTGAAGGTTCCCAGTTACTGCATGTGTGGAGTCCACTGAACACATAGTATTCTAACAGCAGGGAGAAGTGATAGGAAATGCTAACAGTTAGGGCTCAGCAGAGCAGAGCACACCAGTGACACAGAACACACATGGGTTACAGACTCTTAATTCCACAGGGCCCTCTTCACCAAAGAAGGCCTAGAAAGAATGACAGTGAAGAGGACAAGGGAAATCTAAGGAGATCAAGGTCAGCAGCCACCTCATCGGAACTGTCCCTGCAAATTTATTTACTGACACAGATGCCCAGAGAACCCAACAACACAGCAAGATGCCACACAGACAAAAGGAGCTGATCTCCCAGCAGAGAAATTGTCTGCTCCCGAGGCCGAGCAGGAAAGGGCTAAGTGGATGGCTTGCCATCTCTACCAACATCCACTTTAGTCATCCAACAAGAACAAATGAATATAAAATTCTAGCAATAAGAAACAAACAAAGGTGGCTGGAGAGATAGCCCAGCAGTTAAGTGTGTATTGTTCTTGCAGAGGACCAGAGTTTGGTTCCCAGCACCCACTTGGCAGTTGATAGCCACCTGCTAACTCCAGCTTCAGGGCCTCAAACAGTCTCTTCTGACCTCCAAGGGGCAACTGCACTCATGTACACATACCTCTACACAGATATATACATAATGAAAACTAAAAATAAATATATTTTTAAAAGAAATGAACAGAAGACCATGGCTACAGACCCAATGCTTGCTCGCTGCCCCCTGACCATGCACACTAGGCCTCTGTGAGCTGCCTATGCAGCATAAGCATTTTAATAGATTTACCTATTGGTAATGATAATCACTGTCTTTAAAAAGCCTGCTTTTTCTCAATGTATCTTTAAACATTTTAAAACTGCTTCATATCTAGTCAAGTTGAAGTTTTTAAGAACTTGATTTTTAATTTAAATAAAAGTTTATGTTCTAGTTTGCTTTCTGTTGCTGTAATAAACACCATGACCCAAAACTAACTGGGGGAGGAAAGATTTGGCTTATAATCCCGCATCACAGTGGATCACTGAGGGAAGCCAGGGCAGGAGCAGAAGCCATGGAGGGTGCTGCTTACTGGCTTGCTCAGCCTGCTCTGTTATAGAACCCAGGACACCTGCCCAGAGATGGCATTGCCACTTAGTGTGCTAGGCCCTCCCGCATCAACCATTAATCAAGTAAATGCCCTATAGACTTGCCTACAGGCCATTTTCTCAGTTAAAATTCTCTTTTCCTTTATTATCTCTAGTTTGTGTCAAGTTAACAAAAACAAACAACCATGACATTGCCTACAGTACAAATTCAACATCCCTAACACCAACAACAAATACTCTAAAATCTGAACTTTTTTGAGCAGGCACCTGTAAGGTTTTTTTTTTTTTTTTTTTTAATTCTTTGGGGGCCACCCACCCAGCTCCCAAATAAATACACAGAGACTTATTCTTACTTATGAATGCCTGGCCTTATGTTGGTTTGTTTATAGCCAGCTTTTCTAAGTTAAACGATCCCTGTTTCTCTGTAACTATGTTTTGCCTCTGGGATTTCTACCTTTCTTTATTTGTATGTCTTGCTTTCCTTCTTACTCTGTGGCTTGCTGTGTGACTGGGTGGCTGGCTCTGCCATCCTCCTCTTCTCCTCTTCTCATTCTTCCTCTTCTTTTCTTGAGCCTAGATTTCTCCTATTCTCTCTGCCTGCCTATTTCTCTCCTGCCTAGCTATTGGCTGTTCAGCACTTTATTAGACCAAGCAGGTGTTTTAGGCAGGCAAAATAACACAGCTTCACAGAGTTAAACAAATGCAGCATAAAGAATACAACACATCTTTGCATCATTAAACAAATATTCCACAGCATAAACAAATGTAACACATCTTAAACTAATATTCCACAACAGGTACCACAATGGGGAACCCACACTGACCCCAAGTCAGAAAGTAGATACACTAAAAACATTGTACAAAAATTACCTTTGAGATGTGCACGAAAGGCACATATAACAAAACTATGAGACATTAATGGATTTCATGTCTAGACTTGGGGCTCATCTCCAAGCCATATCATTACATATATGTGACTGTATCAAAATATAACCCCCACTCCCACCCCCAGCATATGCACACAGACACAAATTAAATAAAGAGATGGTTTTTGTTTTTGTTTTAAGAATACTGTATAGAAAGACTACATATTTGGGATTTGGAGTATGGCTCAGGGATAGAATACTTGCCTTGAGTCAAGGCCCTGGCTTTAATTTACAGCACCTCAAAAATGTGCATATTTAAACTTTTCCACAGGAAAGCATACTGTCACTGACATTCTTCCTAGTGATTATCTGAGAGTCTTCACTGCTCAGAGACACTAAACACGAGGCTTAGGTGACTGGTTCTGGCATGCCAAAGGTGAGATTTCCTGCAGCCATCTCTCTCCTACACTTGACACCTGTGCTGAGCCTGGCTAGCCCACTGCCCTCCCAGCCTGTCCTTCCCAGTGAGGAGGCAGGTCTTCACGTACATCTCTTCTGCCATCTGCCACCAGGTGCAGGACAAGGCATCCCATTAGGAGGCCTCTTTAGTGCAAAGCTTATTTTTAAAGATTTTTGTTTTGTTTTTTTTGAGACTATTACCTCCTCTTTAAACTTTTCTCTCTTACCTCACATCTGCTCTTCTGAGAAAGGATCACTTTGACAGAGAAAACGACACTGTTTCAATCTATATGAAAACTCCACCTGTCCCACAGCTTTCCAGCATGACAAAAATGCAAATGCACCCAGAAGCTGTGCCTTCTGGTTACCTAAAATGAATGCAGTCCCCAGCCAGCTCCTCAACACTATGGACACAGTGATGGAGATTTTACCTGTGAGGCAGGGAAGCAATACAGAAGGAGGCAAGTTTCTGATGAGCTGGGACACCACAGAGTAAAGAACATGGCTGAAGAGTCACACACAAAAATGGCACCAATGAGAGAGGTGGAGCTCAAACCAAATGCTGGGATCACAGCCAGCCACAGCCAGCCTTCCAGTCAGTGCCCAGCTGCATCACGGAAAAGCAGCCTCAATTTCCTGTCTCCACTGCTGTTGTACTCAGAACTCCTGATGCTCTTACAGTCATCAGATACTTGAAAAGAGGGAATGCTGGCTACTTTTCTAGCCCACCAACACCAGACCACAAACAACCAAAGTCCACCCCAGCCCTATGTAACCATCCACATACAAAAGGACACTTAAAGGAATTGTGTATGACCGTTATGAAGCAGAACAAAATGAAGGCTTCCAGATCGGCCTCAGTAAGCAATACTGTTACAGTGTGCTGATGCTGCCTATGCACAGGGAGATGCAGGAAAACATCTGAGCATCTACCAAGGGTTTTCTGGTATTAGTAAAGCCAGTTCAGGCCTGGCAAGCTGAGAATCAAGAAGCAAAGGAAAGAGGCACCCTAAGGGCAGCCAGTGGGAGCAAGCCCAAGTGAGCTACCAGAGCTGGTGAACCGGGAGAAAGCACTGGCTGAACAGGAGATTCTGTTGTGGACCTGGCCTTGCCTGACTCCAGCTGGTCAAAGCCAGCCCCCGGTTCAAATGCAGGGTTGATCATGGCACTCACATAAAGGGCCATAGTGGCTATGTGACAAAGCAAAAGGCTGTGTCTGTGTCCTGAAATATTTACCAGTGACAACCCGTGGGATGGATGCAGGAGAGATCAAGAGGAAGGGGAAACAAGGCTGGCAAAACAGTGAAAATTGTAGTTTTGTACATGTTTGAATATTTTCATATTAAGAAGCTGTTTTCACGTTATTATCAGTCAGTTTTAAGAAAGGCGCTTAAATAAAAATGGAACCTAGAGACCGTGAGAGGCTCTCCTTCAGCCTGGTAGTCCTGCCTTGTTTTGAATGGCAGTAAGAAAACTGAAAAGTAAACCCAAAAGTCTGAGATGCCACCATTTGCCAAGGATGTTATGTGGTGATCTGCTATATACACAAAGGACAGCTACAGCTTAAATTAACTAATTCAGGAAAGCATGGAAACTGATAAATGTTACGGATGGCCTCCATGACCATCCATCGAAACAGCCCCCAAGGACTGTGAGCTGGCTGGCCCCAGCTGCCACCTAAACAACTCATCATGGAGTAGACAAACTTATATGGCTTACTAAAAATCTAACATTCATATAAAAAATTCATAGAACTGTAAGGAAGTCTTGGCAAACTACTTAAAGGGAAAAGTAGACCAATAAAAGGTAAAGTTATTGAGCTACAAAAGGAGCATTCAGAAACCATTGCAGAGATGTAAGTATGGTGGCACATACCTATAATCCTAGCTCTGCAGAGGTATGGGGGGGGGGCTGATTTCAGGGCCAGCCTGGGCTACACAATGAGAAACACAGTGACGTAAAAGAGCCACCTGAGGACTTTAGATAAGGAACTGAAGGCTGTTAGGAAGAATCTGTATCTGGTTCTTGCCCAAGGGAACCAAGAATAGTTCTTCAAGGGATCAGTATGGTGGGCTGCCTGTTCCCAACAGTGGCTCAGAAACCCACAGTTGCCCTGACTACAGAAGGTCCAATGAACACGCTGGAAAATTCCACTATTTGTTTAAGAATGACAATTACCATTCAGTTGGTATCTTGTACTTAAGAGAACATGCTCGGGCACTACACCATGTTTCTTGGGCTTCTCTGTGCAAATTTAAACTCATCCAGTCAACAAGAAGGGGCGCAGGAAGAGAGACCTATTTACAACTTCAAAAAGCACGGTAAACTTGCACCTCTTCTGGTCTCTGGGCTGTAACGGGAGGGAGGAGGGAACACTCACAGGGGGCTCCTCCTTCAGTGTCTGCAGCATCCAGTTTTCCAGTGTTTCGAAGTCTCTAGGACCCTGGTACTTCACCGCTTCTTGGCCAGGCTTAAAAAACTTTAGGCTGAAAGAACAGCAGCAGATTAGGAAGAGCATTAGTTTAAAAGTTTAAAAGCTACTCTGGGTGGAGAGCAAACCCATGCAGTGAAACAGCTGCCATGGACATGTGTGTCTCCTGGTGATCTGTATCTTTTCCTGGGACACTACAGAGGAGAAAACCCCCACTTGGGTGTCACTCTGCATAGACTATGACAAAGTGTATCATAACTGATATGCTAGGGGTTTGATTGTGACTTCCAAAATATTGCTATTAAAAGCCTAACCCAACCTGAGGAAATGGCCTCACTCAGAACCAGGCCTTCACAGAGACCAATGTGACTTG